AGCTTTGTTCCCTTAGCATATTTTGATGGTATAAATCTATTTTTGGATATATTTGGAGCATCCGGAGACTGATTCGAGGGGCAAAGGCATCGCGGGCTAGAGTTTGGACCGGATAGAGGTAAGTAATGATTGTAAATGTTGTCCTGAGGGTATGAAACCCCGGATTTTACATTGTTGTACTACTTTGAGGTGACGCACATGCTAGATGACGAGCATGGGGTCCTGCACCATTGGGGATTGTGACTTGGTCCGTCCCGTTGACTGTTAAACCACAAATTTGATTGAAAATTGTTTGATATCATTGTGTTTGGAAAGTATTATCATGTTTTGGGATGAATGCCATATTTCAGCCTCGTGCCAACTGTTTTGGACCCTTAGGGGATTTTTACTACTATTCCTCACTGTTTTGACTTCATATTTGTACTCAGTCATGCTTTATTCTACTATTTTTTATAACTCAGCATATTTACTCTGTTTTGACATTTTAAATGATATTTTGGGCTAAACATCATATTTTACTGTGCCCGAGTGGCTTGAGAGATTTCTGGCTGAGTGAGGCCGAGGGCCTGTGTTGTGAGGATATTATGGGCTCGGGCTGCAGCAGTGTGTACTGATTCATGATTTTGAGGTCGAGGACCTTATTTGCTACACCACGAGGTGGCTTGTTATGAGGCCGAGGTCCAGTTTGATTATGCCACGAGATGGCTTGATATAGCGCTTGGGATGTAGGAGCCCCTCCGGAGTCTGCACACCCCTAGTGAGCGCGGGTACCTAGTGTGAGTTGTAATATTGCCCGAAGGGCTGTTGTTGTTTCATGTTATTGCCCGAGGGGCTGATACAAATGATTGTGAGGTAGCCCGAGGGGCTGGTTGTGTTAATATTTTGCCCGAGGGGCTGATTTATGTTTCTATCCTTTTTCTCCGTGTTTTCATCACTCGTTTGAATTACTAAAAGATGTTTTAAAAAGGTTTTTACTGAACTAAGGTGTTTTTACGAGCTTTTACTGAACTATTGCATTGTTTTGGATTTATACAGTTTTGTTGTAGCATTATGCTGTATTTTACATGTTTTCTTATCGCTCAGCTGCCTTTACTTTTATCACTTACAGAGTTGGCGTACTCACATTACTCCCTGCACCCTGTGTGCAGATCCAGGAGTCTCGAGTCACGCTAGCGAGTCTGATTTGCCTTCCAGCAGGCTTGTTCGTGGTTAACTAGGTAGCTGCTCAGCGTTCGCAGCGCAGTGCTTCTCTTTCCTATCTTTATTTCACTTTGTACTAGCTTTGTATTAGACTATAATGTCTTTTCTTACTCTTAGATGAATTTTAGATGCTCATGACTGAGGAAACCAGGTTTATGTGTAGTTATATTCTCTTCCGAAGAAGGGATCTCTACTTGTACCGCCTTTACCCAGCGACAATCTATTTTCACCTTCTTTATGTCAGTTATTAGACTAATATACCAGACATGGGTTCGTATCGGCCTGGTACCGAAGAAGGTTTATCAATTTTGAAATCGGAAGCTGTATCGAAGGTCCCAGAAACACACTCATCGATGCTAGGGGCACTACCTTTTTGCCCTTAGACGAGCGTGACGAAGAAGGGGCTTCCCCTTTTTGAGGTACTGTCTTAGAAGTTTTGGTCATGGTTATAACGAAGTCTCAAAGCAAACTGATGAAGAAGTGAACTTAGAAGAAAGGTGAAAACAGGAAACTGTTAGCAAAGATTTGAAGATCTGAAGTGTTGCAAAGGTTTAAATGATAGGGAATTGGAGTATTTATAAGTCATCTAAGTGAATTGGAGGAGTTGCAAGGGCGACCAATAGCGGTTCGCGAGCTTTTTGAGAATCGTGCTTGACAAAACCCCTGTACAACTTTTCTGTCACGACATTTAATGATCTCACGTGGCTGACGTCACAATGGGGGTATCGAAGAGGCAAGAATTAAAGATCGTTTCTTATCATTTCATTCTAAGAAACGCGAGGACTATCTGTATGCGGCCAAAATTGGAGTTCGACTTTGGGGGTACTATGTCGCTCCACGCCTAACCTCGAAGAAGCCCGAAGTAGAGTGTGAGGTGCGACCCCGAGATGTGTCCCTTGAGGGAGCACATCGAAAGCTCACTATGGTCGACCTCGGAGCACTACAATCGATGATTGCCATGGAAAGGCGGGAAAATTCCCGAATACACGTGGTTAGAGCTGACCATGTATGCAAGAATAGTACAAATCCGTACTAAGTCATTATACAGCTGTACCAATAGCATTTCCTCGTTATTATTAAACATGTACTATATTGGGATTCCCCCTCTTATATAAAGGGGACCCTTGTCATTTTGTAACACAGATAACATTGAATACAATAGAACATTTTCTGCTTTTCTTGCTTAAAAGTGCTAAAGGATTACTCTACATATTTATTGCTCGTTCGTTCATTGTTCGTCTCTTGCTCATTTATTGTCCATCATTGTTCATTTATTGTTCTTCATTTATTGCTCATCGTCGGCCTTTAAAAGCTGCCCTCGAGGTCCCATATCGTTGAGCTCGAGGCCCTCAACCTTGGAACTATATGGGTTTGCTTATCATTTCTTGCTCATTTACACTTAGCATTATTCACTTAACAACTAGTATTAAGATAAATCACGTATTTTTAGAACCACAAATCAAATATAATTGTAGTTATCATTTTCAAGGTAAACAAAGTACACAACAACCAAGTATCAATTAAATATATGCTTTAAGGACCTATATTAGTGTATTTGTATCTGTTGTTTGCTCATATTGTTACATTGCGACACTTAAATTAAGTGATACACATGATCCTTAAAAGCATTATAAAAACAGAGTGTCCTTATCAAAAAAAAAAAAAAAAAAT